AGCCAGGCTTGCAGTCCAAGAGAAGCACCAGAGTGCCCAGGGGCTGAGTCTCCCCCCCCCCTCTCCCTCCCTCTCGCCTCCCCTCCCCCACCTCCTTTCCCCAGTCTCCCCAGAGTTTCATACGCCACCACCCCTCGTTTTGTTAAATAAACAGTTTATATTTTTGAAAATACGTGTATTTTATTTGACATCAGGAAGGGAGGCTAGGGAAGAGTAAGTGGAAGGACGTGAGGGAGGAATGAGGCGCAAGCCTCCAATGGGGCAAACCAGAGAGGCTCTTAGTGCTCCTTGAGGTGGAATCACTCCCGCAGGGCCTCCTGGATACTGACAGCCCCCCCATGGGCATCCTGGATGGCAGCTTACAGAAAGTGCAGCCAGGCTTGCAGTCCAAGAGAAGCACCAGAGTGCCCAGGGGCAGCTCTGACTCCATGCTGCAGACATAGGCATGCGCACGGGGTGTGCCCAGGCACACCCTAATGTCTTGGGCCAGCTACAAGGGGGATTTGTGATGGGGACAGCACAGCCCCTCATTTTAAATTCCCCACAGCCATCTACAGGGCACTGTAGGGCAGAGAGAGTGCATGCGCAGCATCCTCAAACGCCGCATAACAGGTGAGAGGGGAGACACCTGGGCATGGCGTGATGTCACGTCTGGGACCTTAAAACCGCGCTGCCCAGCTCCAGAGGCAGCTGGGGCCCGACTACACACGCCGGCCTGAGCCATTTTTGCGGCCTGACCCCCTGAGGCGTCCCCGCCCGGCCCAGGCTATAGCCTAGTCGGCCTGTAGTTTGGGCCAACTCTGACTCCAGCCCCGCAAGCTGGAAGGCAGAAGCTAAAGGTAAAGTAAGGGAGGGGTCAGGCTACCACAGCCCTGGCTACGCTACAAAGGCTGCCGTGGCCCCAGCTCCACTACTGGGGTTTTGGCCCAGGTCCCAGCCCTGCTGTCATCAGCCCTGCTGGGCTCCAAGCTAGAACTTCCTGATCCAGAGGTCAAACCTATATCTGAAACCACCTGTTTAAATCAAAGAAGAATTAAAACTAAGGTCTTTTTGAGAAAAATCAATAAAGGAGACTGGAAGTTCTCTGTTTTATAAGACCATTAAAGAATAGGGATTAATGAGGAAAAAATGCCCCTTTCTCTCTGTTTTGTATCATATCCAGTGAACTAATTAGCTGATAACCAAAGATTATTACACATGCAGTTGGTATAGCTCTCTGGACATATTTGGAATAAGCAACACATGTAAAATTACAGTAGTGATTGCGATTGCTCATCTGCATAAACGAGTAACACTATGTAGCTGACTGAGGCGTGTGAATTAGCAAAATCAGGACCACTTTTGTTTAGACCATTTTACAAAATCCAGAGCAGTATGCTACCCCAACCACCTTTAGCAGTAGCTAAAGACAAGGTTACTTATATGGGAGGCAACTGATTTACAACACAGGACAAAGAGGTTAAGTCAGGTTGGCCCCATGTCGCTGCTCTGGTAAGGCTGCTGTTGGACTAGAGAGGAACCCAGCAGAAGTAGAAGTCTTTAAAAAATTGAACTAGTCTCCCTTACAAGAATTCTGATTTGTTCCTTCTTTGTAGCTCCAAGCCTCACAGAAATGATGATTGTTGCTCCATTTTCCTGAGATGATTTTTATCATGAGTATGTTTTGTTTTTTTTTCAAATGAGAAGAAAGATTCACCTCAGCAACATGGAACCAACTTTACTTGCTCCATAGCTGGGCTAAGTATAGGGAAGTACAGAGTCTGAGGAAATATCACTGAACAGTTTGGCTATTGTCCCCACATTGCCCCATTTCATTCCTACAAAGATTCCAGCAAAGCAGGAGCAGCAAGATCCTGGTCCTGCACCATCTCCTATCCTCATTCAAATTTTAATTGTACTAGGAAGCAGATGTATCCATGGCAGTGGCAATGTAAGGGCTTTAGCAAGTACCTACCCATTCTCTCCTTCATTGGCTCAATTGGGAACACAGCCATCATCTATAGTGGGCCTGACCTGAGCAATATTGTATCCCTATGGTGAACAACATACGTGAATATCCATTTTTAGAGGATTTGCAACTTACATGTAGATTACTGAAATTTTAGTAGATCATCACTATTTTGATAATTATAGCAAAATAACCTCAATCCTAAAAGTCTCAGATAGTACGTAAATTAGAGAGAAGGCTACATGTGGCAAAATTTAAATTTTTCAAATTACGATAATACAGCCTCATTAAAATGCACTCCAGAAATTGATATTAATGTAGTACTGTATATAATTTTCCCTACCCCCTGAGCTTTCATTGGAATTGGTTTGTGGCACAGTGACTTCAGAAGCCTGTATGTTGGTCACAGATGCTGCTGTTACAGCTGGAGCAGGACTGCTTCTGCTAAAACATGGAAAAGGCAAAATGGATAACAATGACTATTAAAATATGTATATGATATACTGTTTGCTTTTCATATTATACTGTTTCCGTTTAAATAGCCAGAGACCTGCATTGACATGATTTAGCCAATAACATCAACACTACAGAGTTAAAAAAGGGCCAAATTGCAATTATGACAGTGTGAACATAACAAAACTATGTTAGAAACATTAGTTATAAGACTACACTTTGTGAAATACTATATGAGGTCAATAATTTCATATTAAATAATCCATGTTTCAATCAAGTTGTTAAAGCTATACGTGAGGGAGGAATGAGGCGCAAGCCTCCAATGGGGCAGACCAGGGAGGCTCTCAGTGCTCCTCAGGATGGAAGCTCTCCTGCAGGGCCTCCAGGATTTACTTTGTGTGGCTCTTGTTGCAGAATTCTTTCAGGAGTAGTAAATCTACCAGGCCAAAAGACTGCTGTAGTTGGCAATTTTTATTTTTTTTCTTGAACTATAAGCTGTCATAGAGGAGTTTTAAAATGTTCCCTACTGTATAAGATTCTCCATAGCAGCATGTGAAACATAGTGTGGTCCCAATAAAAAGTCAGCATTTGCCAACTTTGGTTTATCGGCAGAAGATGAAGAAGCATAGCTTCCCCATGCCTTTAGCATAGGATGTGATTATGGCAATGGAGTTTTATCTGCGGGCAATTGCTAACTCTTATGAACACCCTGCTTCCTAACCCTGCCATAGCTCAAACCTAGAAACTGTTAGCAAAGACGTCTCAGCAGACTTGACCTCTATTTGTCCCTTAGCAGTTCCCTATGAAGTATACAAGTATGTTTGCATGTATACAGTGAGCCTGGAGAAAGGAGCAAATCATTTAGTAAAGTTCTGATAAATCTATGTGGCAGAACTATGTGTCATATCATCATTAGCCAGGATGAGTAGGAATGGTGTCCCTAGCCTCTGTTTCTCTGGAGGGGGGACAGGGTGATGCTGGGAGAGGAGAGTGTATGGGTATTGGGGGTTAGAAGGGAGAGGGGGAGGAGCTGGGAGAAGGCTTGAAAGAAGGGGTGGGCATGGGATGGAGCAAGGCATGTGTGAGGGTACAGGGGCATGAGGGTAGAGGGTAGTGAGGGGGTGGGCATCAGGGAAAAAGAGGGCAAAGAGCGCAGGGGCAGTGAGGGAAGGGGGAGGCACCAGGAGGGTACAGGGCTAAGGGAAGGCGCAGGTGCCAGGGGATTCTGGGGGTGAAGCAGAAGGGCAGATGCCTGCAGGGGAGGGACCAGCACCAGAGGAGAGAGGCGGGGCAGGTGTGTAGAGGGAGGTGTAGAGGGGATGAGGAGGGGTAGCTCACATGATTGGAGTGGGGCTACTGGTGGAGGCAGGTCTCAGGAAGGCTGAGGGCAGTGAGAAGGGCAGGAGTCAGGACAGCAGAGGAGGGTGAGGGGTTGGGGGGCAGCAGGCACCAGGGGAGCTGATGGAGCAAGCAGAGGAGACATGGCAGCAGAGGGAAAAGGTAGAGGTTTGAGATATGTATTATTAACTTGGGTGCCACATCCAAACAAGCTACATTAACTCAGTACTGGTGCACAACACAAAATTAATTCTGCTCATGGGAGGAAACTCTTAAAGGGAACACTTCCCCCAGCCTCTCCGCCCCCCAGTTAATGTCACTCACGCTGGTTTAATGCAATTGCAGGATAGCTGCGTGAGGGGGGGGTTGGTGGGGCAAAATTAATCCCTAAAAGTAGGAGGATGGTGGGAAAAGTCCGGGGGGAAAGGGGAGGGGTTTACATTACATCTTTTACTTCTGGTCATGTGTCCATCTTGCCCTGAGAATGTTACCTCCAGAGGTGTGGCCAATGAGGCTTACCTAAAAAATTCTTTGGGTGCACACCCTAATGAAATGTGCTGCGCACGCCTATGGCTGCAGAGTGATGTGGTGTCCCAAGTGAGGGCAACCAGAGCACACCAAGAGAAAATTCTTTGCTGTCTCTCATCGATGTAAACAAGCAAGCAGGGAAACCTGAGAACTGGCTGTCTGGGGGGGGAGGGCAGCTTTAAGCACAGACCTCAGATAGCCTCAGGCAGCAGCCCCAGACAGCGCTGGAACTGGTTCCGGCCAGCCTTAAATGCGATTCAGAGTCCACTCAGTGTGAACGTGCTATTTTGAAATGCATTTTGTGTGTAGACACGTTATTTCGAAATGAGTTATTTCAAATTAACTATTTCAAAATAAGGTATTTTGAAATAAGCTATTTTGAATTAACTATTTCAAAATAAGATATTTTGAAATAACACTGTAGTGTAGACATACCCTTAGAGGCTACTGCATTTCAGATCTAGAGAGGGAAATATCAAGCACAGGTTAAATAATTGGTCAGAATTCCTAGCTATCTGTGATCAGATACAACTACCTCCACATTCATGTTTCTCATTTGCAATGAGACATTTCAAGAAAAAATTATATTAGCTGCACATACAAACTTCAACTTTCCCCAAGAGTTTCAGCATATTTTTTTTTAATCTTTCAGGTTGATAACAAAATTACGGACAAATGCAACACAAATGTTAATTAATGTGGAAGCATAATTGAAGAAAAAGATTTTACTTACCATGTAATTGCTATAAGCATGATCAAACATTTCCAACACTTGATTCCTAAGAAAAGGAACACGAAAAAATTGCTGAATTATCAATTTAATATTTCCTCTTCTACTTGTCAAACTTTAACACAATATAAGTATTATATAGTTTAATTTCTGGAGATTAATAACCGATGCCCTTCAGTTCATCTGTGGAACTTTGCCCAAGTAAAGCTAATGAAGTAGAACAACCAATGGCAAGATATTTTATGGTCTGTTTAGACCTCATGAAAGAGCGGAATGTAACATTATCTAAAGCTAATCCGAAAGTAGCAGGTGGTGCGCAAACTAATTCTGAACAGGCCAGTCCCATGATACCAGTGCTACTCCAGTCCTGGGCCTTCTTCTGAATAAAATGTGTTATGTCCCTAAATTTATTGCGCAAGGATTTGTTCCTGGGAGCACTCCATTTGCAAAGAGAAAAGACCTTCCAATCATAAACACAATTTTCCAGTGCAATATAGTTTTGTTTTGTTTTTTAAAATCACAAGTATTATACTCAACAGATGAAACAGGTTACTAGATACTCTACATTTTCTTCATGGGCAAATTCTCCCAATTCAGTGAGTTTTCCTCACTGCAAAAAGGAAAACTCCCTCTGAAGTTAATGTGAAATTAAGCATTTTACATTCCAAGATGCCAAGGACAAAGTCCTATTTTCCCCCTGCAGTAGTTGGTGTTATCCACTTATTACTGCCATTTGTCTGCACTTAAAAGTTTAAACCACAGCTGCAGCAGCACTTTAAACTTAAAGTATGGCCATGGCACATGCACTAGGAGAGAGCCCATCCAGTGCAATATATAAACCACTTCCATGAGGGAAGTAGCTAACATCTGAGTCACACTAGCACTTTACAGCACTAACTTGCTGTGCTGGGCGGTGGGAGAGTGTTTTTTTTAACCCCCCCCCCCAAAGCCAGAAACTTACCCCTTCCCTCAGTAAAGTGCCAATGTACAGCTAGCCTAAGAGCCCAGGAGTTTATATCCCTAACTTTGCTAAATGCTAAAAAATGTTCATAATGAAGACAATGAATTTCTAGCTTATTTACAATAACCACAAACATTAACAACCCTTTTTGTCCTATGACTATAGGGATGTAAACAGGCCACTTCACCTTGAATGGTCTCTTAGATTAGAATAGTGCTAACTGCTTGATCTTGTATTTAGCTGTGACACCTTGAGTTTCTTTCCTAGACCTGAAGAAGAGCTCTGTGTAGTTGGAAATATGGGTGTAATAGCGTAGTCAATTAATCAATTAACTGATAAGCAAAAGCTTTTTGGTTAATGCGATAGACTACACGCATTTCCCCCCTGCCTGCCTTGACGGTAAATTTTGTGTAACAGGTTGGTCAGTAGCTCAGCTCAGTCCTGGATTGCACCAGGTCCAGGACCTACTCCTGCAGCAGCTCTGCATTTAAAGTATATTAGGAGCCAGACAGGCAGGCAGCCCAGCTCAGTCCCTGCTCATGCCATGTCTGGGAGTTCGGAACCCACCCTGGAACAAGGGCTGCTGCCACCCCACACTGCTGCCTCTGTATCAGAGGCAGCAGCGTGGGGTGACAGGCAGTGGGTCCATGAGGGGAGTTGTTTTTTAAACTGGCTCCCCTTGCGGACCAGCTCTTGCCTGACATCCCACGTTGCTGCCCCTGATACAGAGACAGCAGCACGGAGTGGCAGGGGACTCCTCGGAAGTGGGGCCAGAGCACAGTGGCTGCCGACCCCAGCCCCAGGGCCTATAGAATACTCAAGTAACCAATAAACAATTAACCAATATTTAAAATCCCTAGATGGAAACAGTTGTCTTTTCATCAACAGAAGCTAGTCAATAAAAGTTATTAACTCACTCACTTTGTCTATCTGAAAGCCAGTAAAGAGGCACACTCCTCACTCTGTGAATCCCCACAACACAGTTCTGTGTTCCTTCTGTGATAATTGGTATCATCAACACCCAAATCTATTTTACATGTCAGTGGAATCAAAAGCTACCTCTGTATCATATTTTCCCTCAATTAAAATTTTGCTAAGGAAAGAAAAAGTGGTTTTAATATTATGTACAGGCAGTCCCCGAGTTACGCGGATCCGACTTATGTCGGATCCGCAGTTACAAACGGGGCCGTTCCTCTCCCTGGTCTCCAGCAGACCAGGGAGAGGAAGCAAAGCGGCGGAACACGTGGGCAGCGGACAGGGCTG